AACCGCTAACTGTTGCGTCGAAATGCGTGCGATACCCCTCGGCTAATAAAGTAATCTCCCCCGAGACGACGAAAGAGAGAAGAATCCACGACGATGCGTATATATGTATACATATATATATATATATATATATATATATATATATATATATATATATATATATATATATAAAGCTATTTGTTTAACTCGGCAATCGTCAAACGGAGCCCCTTTCGGAAGTATTAACTTTGAACCTCGAACACAATCATTATTCACACCCCTGCCTAATGTATCGCTGTTGCGGTGATGTATTCGAGATGAGCGACGGGACGGAGAGAAAATACGGACGCCGACGTGGTCTGTAACCATAACCATTAGGGTACCGTGAGTTCGTCGTGCTCGACAGCGACATTGCGCCCTGCACGTGTCCAGTCGATGCGGGACGCACGTGTCACGTGTGCCCGAGGAAGCTCCATTCAGCGCGCTTGTGAGTGACCGGGATCAAACGACGACGACGGCGACGGAGGGGAATGACGTCGGAAGAACATCGCCCTGGATGAAAGTAGGAAGGGTGGCGACAAGTGCTTACACGACAAGTGCGTATCCCGCGTTCGATAAAGTGCGATAAAAGTGGACGGAATGCATGGCCGTGTGAACCTTGCAACGGGTCGCTTCGGAAAAGGCGATGTCGAACGGGATGCACGAGAGAGGGCTAAAACGCCCAATCGGATGACACACTTTTCCCCCTTAGAATAGCATAAAGAATTTCTTTCTTCGTCACTTGAATATTATCGTAGAAAAACAGCATATAATATAGCAAATTACAATATAGTACATCATCTTGCATCGCTTAGAATATCTAAATTGAATATGAAACGCGATTGTAAACTAATTAATATTAGAAAACACGCGAAAGAAGATAGAGAAAAATATAATTTTCTTAACGTCATATAATGACGTTATAGTAATGAACAGATGTTACATTTTTTTATGATGAGTGTGTTAGATTTTAATAATATATTCCGTACTTGCAGAAAATTATCACGTCATCAGAATAAAATTAACATAAGCATATTTATATATAGAGCGTTTATTATACATGCGTTTGAAATATAATATAATATAATTAATGAGCGCGTGAGTTACATTCATTAATATCAAATTAACGCACACCCTAAGAAAATAAGATAATAGCGGAACAATATAATTATCTCATCTCGTTATATGCAAATAACGTTTTTAGCGCCGCATATCAGTTGCCAAATATAATTTCCCACGCTCATAATTGGCAGTCCTCGAGCGATCGCACGAGTAGTCAGGAACATAAAAAGGGTGTCCGAACAATCGTCGCCATGCATCGAGCGCATTCAGGCATTGGAATTTAGTCGTAACACGCGACTTACATCAATTACACGAGAAGGAGAGGAGGAATGGGAGGAAGACTTATGCCATCTAACTCCCTGCCCACGCGAATTGAAATTCCTTCAAAGTCTCTCGAATACGATGCTTCGCAAATCGTTCATGGCCGCGCGTCTACCGCGCCTCGCCATCGACGTTCCGCTCGTCCGACACGAACGTGCTGGGCACGCCGCATGAATCTATCGCTTTGATTCCTTCGCCCCGAGGTCCGCATCTTTCCTCGCGACTGCCGTAGAACGGAGCAATTCGGAAGCGGGACGCGCAACGCTGTTATCGGCATCGAATCGGCCGAGTTCTCTCACGTACGTGCTCGTCTCGACGGGAGCCCGACTCGCTTGATCGCTTCACCTTGGAATTCACGATTTTCGGTGTGAACGGGACCTCGAGTGTTCGGACGCTACCGAACACCGATGGAATGTCGCGTGCGCGGGAGCCATCGGGGCCCGAGCTTAGCTTGGCTATGCCAATCTACGACTGTCATGGAAGGCTCGTGGAAGAGGATAGGAAAAAGCGAGAGAGAGAGAGAGAGAGAGAGAAAGAAAGAGAGGAAGATAGGTGGCAGTGAACGTATACGTCGAAGGAATACGAAAGTCGATGGTCGATCAACACTCGAATGCCCGTTCCCTATGTAATAAGACCACTACGTAATAAGACCAGATATTTCTACACGGGCCACAAGCTGGGCCTGGCCGCCCGTCGTGGGAAACTCATACGTGATTCGTGATATCCGCATCGCGAAACCAGAGCTTTCGAGATGAAATGCTCTGAAGCTTTCGCGACGCAGGTGCGATTCGATTAGCAGCCTATATTTCGGCGCGCCGATATTTTACAGCGCCGCAGCTGGGACGCGCCGTGCGCGCATTTGTCACGTGTTGGACACGATGCGAGGGATGGTCCCCCGCCGTATTTTAATTGGACCGATCGTTTACTTTAATCCTTTTTGGCGCGAAGACGCCATCGCGTTTTCGTGTCCCGTTTTAACGAGACACCGGTCAGAGTCGCCGACCGTGCACGATCCGTGTCGCAGCCAGAAGTACTGCCAGGCGGAAAGCACTCTTGATTATGAGATTAGCGCGACGCGTTTCATGTTCTCCACCGTCATATTTAATAGTATTTTGAAATAACAACCATTAATTTCTTATTGCTATCTAATTTTGTTGACATGATAGAGTTATATCATCATAACGAAAAGCCAAGTGCTTGTAGTTTCTTTTAGATCTAAAAATGAAAAGGCATTTCCATCGGCAATGGAATCAATTTTAATTTAGAAAACAAAAGGACTTGATGTTTTTATTAAAATGCCATTTTATTAAAATGCCATTAGAAAAGAGAAAGAGAAGAGAGTGTAAATTAATTAAGATATGTATCGGTATCAAATTCGAAAATTATATTTTTGTAATGCATTTCGAAGATTTCGAGCAACGAGACTTTCATGAAATACTGGCTGTGAGCGCTACAATGTGCGATATACACCTTATGACAGTTATTATTATTATCGCGCATGACGGATTATAGTCGATCGTCGTGTCTCGGAATTCACGCTCGCACACACGCACACATGCGTGGCGGCGGAAGGAAGGATGCCAGGAAGGGCGACCTGTATCGGAGGTGAATCTGAGCTCCCCGATCGGGGCAGCGCAGGTGCAGGTGCCTCTAGAAACCGACGACGAACAAACGGTAGGGACGAGGGGAGGGAGATGCGTAAAGGAAGCAAAGACCGGGGCCCTGCACGCGCCTCTGACGCGCCGATGCCACCGATATCTTCTTCTTAAACTTTCCTATCCGCTCATTCATGCCCAACTAAATGCCTATAATTTTGGATATGATTACAGGGCACCGTAACCAACGCCCCGTGGACTCATGCTGCCTCATCGAGAATGAGAGAAAGGGAAAGAGCTCGTTATGCAAGGGGGCCCGACGAAATTGAAACGGAACGAGCCTGGATCCCTCGGTTCGTCGATCGTTTGAGGACGGTTCTCTCCCCGCACCAGAACCTTTCGCACAGGTAACATATATACGTAATGACATATAAATCCCTTCCTCCCCCTGCTCCCCCGGATCCCAATCGGACCGATGACAGGTGGTCTTGCGTGATTATTACTAATTTTTTGTAGACTTAAGCAAACAGAGAAATTGCCACGACTATCCAGGTGCTCTCTATATTTCAGCCTGTATATTGTAATGCTGCCGATTGTAATGCGGTTCGACCGTTTCGGATCTTCGTGACAGATTCAATTCAGTGTTCTTAATTACGGTTCGATATATAGGATGTTCGAAATACAGTTCGCAAATTTAAGAGTGTATCTTTCACACTCGTCTAACGGAATGACAAAATGCTAAGCGTGATTGCAAAAGAAGAAAACTTCAAAAACCATCTCCGATTCTTGTCTATTCTTGAATTACATGAAGAAAACAATTTTGCTGTAAAAACCTAAAAATTTGACCTGATATAGATCTTGTTGGAATCAAAATTATTATGATATTTAAATACTAATAATAAATGATAATAATACTGCAAAAATTTTTGATCGTCTGCAATTTGAAATATAATAATTATGAAAACTCAACAAAATTATTTTCAGATTTATATCTGGCCAAAGATTTAGATTTACCAGCAAAACTATTCTTCTCATATATGTATATTACATTTATTTTTACATTTGAATGATGAAAATATTGGAAAAAATACAAATTTATAGTCATTTGTCTGCTATTAAATCATTAAGCCATACGATCGTGATGATGATAGTCGGAATCCTAAAGATCCTTCATTGAAGTAAATCAAAATGGCGTCCGATAATAATGATGTATTACAACTGACGTGTTAAGTAAGTTAAATTGCGGGGACGATCGCCATGAGCGGCGTAATTAAATATACGTTCCTCGATCCTTGTATGTGACGTACGTGCTGCGATCGTTTTCACGGAATGAAATCAGCGCGCCTCGCCGTATCATTATGATAATGATTTCCACACCGGAATCCCCCACGACGTTGCCGCACGTTTTATTAAAAAGAGCTAGCGGCGTAAATGCGCGCAGCCCTCTGGCCATGCCGGGTAAATGGGTTCTTTAGGACGTTTGCGCCAATAAAACAAGTTCGCGCGTAAAATAACAGACTGTACAAATATCGAAATTGTAGAGGCTCGTGTGCTTAAGTAAAGTAAAAGAGGGTACGATTATGTACCCTGTTCATATGGAACAGAGAATTTGGCCCAAACTCTCTTCGGTTTAACTCAGTGTACGCTTATATTATGCGAATTAATTAATAATCCGCGTATCGCTAAAATAAAAAATCAGAACGAATGTTCATTTATGATGAAGCGTCATCGATTTTCGCATACGACGAATGCTATTTCGATTTCGCTTAAATGAAAAATTTTTTTTGACGTTTTGTCAACCACGCAGTCTTATTTCCAGTCTGACACGTAACGTCGTGTATCAAATTGCAGTAGTTTTATGCAGTAGATATTATATTTCTTTGCTCTTCCCGCGCTTTTCGATCTTGCAAATCCGTTCGACGGATCCTCTTGAGCCCGCGTCTTGCACATTATAAGATGCATTAAAATTACAATTGATTGATGAAAAGAGAAAAAAAAACTTACCTCTTGATGGTGCATTAAGAAGTCGGGGGCGGACGGTGGCGGGGGTGGATCCGCGGCGGAGACCTCTTGGAGTAGTCCCACGTGCTCCCAACAGTCCTCGGGCATGTCCATGGTCAGTCCTTCCTCCGTCCCTTCGGTTTGCGCACAGGTCCTCCCCCGCGCAGAACGGGGTGAGCCCAGCAAACTTCCTGTGTCCCCCTCTTTTTATAACACGTCCTCTGAATTTTTCTCGATACACAACCGCGTACGTGCGAGGTACGATCTATCGAGGGGGAAGATTACTATTAGACACAGTCACTTTCAAAAAAATCCAGTCACGTATTCCAGTCACAATGATGATATCGGCGTGACACACCGGACGGCCGGTGCACCACCGCCGGGAAGAGGAAAGAGAAGAAGAAGAGATTCACGTATGTACGTACTACGTAATACACCAACGATTCGCCGACGACGGAGTCGACGTGTCGCGTGACCGCGTTCTCTGACGACAACGACAACGACGGCGGCGACGACGACGGTGGCGGCGTCGAGGACACGACGACGGCCGTCGGTGGTGGTCAGTCGGCGTGGAATGAAGTTCGCCCGCGGGTTAGGTTGGGTTAGCCAGCGAGCGGGAGTTGTGCAGCATCAGAGCG